GGAGACCTTTTTGTTGTATATCAATGAAGATATGATAACACAGCACTGTTTAATGCTGAAACTCTTGCTTTATAAGTACTTTTTGGTCCAAATTACCACCGCGATTCTCACACTGGGGCTAAATCTCAGTCAGCTCCCTGCTCCCTACATAGTGCACTACATAGGAGTTTAAATACTGGATCCTGCAGCCCAACAGAGCAAAATACAGCTAAGAAACAGTCTTTTGGGATTCAGACTCATCCACACTCGATAAATGATGCACTGTTTGGCTGTAGAGGCTAGAATTTCTAAACGTTCATAGCTAGAACACTATTTAGGGAGTACAGAGCCGTTTGGGATTCAGCCTGAGTTTGACGCGACTTCTGACTGAAACACGAACATTTGAAGCGTGTAAAACATTCAAGTGATATTTTTAGACTTTTATACTGCAGTTTTACAGTTAATCACACTGTAAGTGCTTTAATTCAAGTCTGTGATATTAATGATGTTGTTGTTTAGGCTGTTGGCTCTTTTAGCCTGTTAGCTAGCTGACCAGCCTAGTTCTAGTAGAACATAAGTTGTCAGCCCCTCAGTTTAAACAGAACTCATTGCTCAATGTGAGCAGAATTAGAGTCAAAGATTATTCCATTAACAGCACAAGGGTTTTTTTGATGCTGTGACGTAGTGATACACAATTCAGTGGCTGTGAGGTGGTCATAGGTGGTCAGATTTTAGGACTGGAATTATCTGTTTTATAATAAGTAAAATAAAATAGCTATATTTGTGTATCATGATTGCTTGTTCATATCACCACCATTGTGAAGAAATTCAGAGACCCAAAATTTCTCCACAATGAATCATTTGCTTACATCTCAAGAGCTGAAAAAAGAGGCAAGGTAACATTCCTGTTATTAATCCATACTTGTGGCCTAAATGATCCAGTCTACTGACCACCACTGAGCTTCATGCTGTACAACACTGTGCAAACCTCACCGTCATGAACTGACCCTCCTGATGATGCTGCTGCATAAACTCAGACTATCTAATTAACCATTGCTCTGCCTGTTTTTCCCCGTTTTGTATTCTAATATTTTATACTAACGCTGTTTTCTATCCGGTGTCGACCCGAGGAGGATGGGTTTCCCTTCTGAGTCTTGGTTCCTCTAAAGGTTTCTTCCTCCTGCTCTTAGGGAGTCACCATTGGCGACACTCATGGGGGCTCGGACCCGGATTTTTCTGTAAAGCTGCTTTGTGACAACACCTGTTGTAAAAAGCGCGATATAAATAAACTTTGACTTGACTTGACTTGACTTGACTTGACTTGACTTGACTACTACTTGCTTTGGGGAACACATCGTTACCCTGATTTGTATATTTAGACATTTTGCTGGTTTCGTCTCCTGAAGAAGCATCGGAAAGCATCTATAAAGTGTAAAAAGAAGGTCTAACAGAAAGGTCTGTATGTACATGGCAGAGATGCTGAAGTGACTGCTGTTATATCCAGCCCATGTGCTGCCACACACTAAAACACCTGCGGTTCGTTCAGCGCTGCAGAGCCGTTACATGCGATTGTGCTTTCATTTCTTCCGACTAAGCCATCAAACCTGTCAGAGGCATTAAGACGTCTCTCCCGCCAGACCTCTCCGCTCACCTTTTGTGCCGTTTTGAAAAGTCTTCATCACTCTGTCAGACAGAGCTGCTCCATCACTGCGGCCTGATATTGGGTTCTGGTGCTGTGTGTGTTTGGATGATGTATGTTCTTATTACTGTTTTTTTCCCGAATAAACCACATGATGAAGCATGACACAGACACATAACACAGGCCATCGTACGTTTGGGGAGACTTAGCTTTTCTATTTTTTCTTCTTTTACAGGTTTTTTTTCCATACATGAACATGTTTTTTGTCAGTTTTCCTTGCAAAGGATTAACTGATGAAACCTTCACTTGGTAATAAAGGTCAGCACTCATCATCAATCAGTCCTTTCAGGTGCTTAGACCTCATTTGGACCAAAGAAGTCCAAATAAATCTGTATATGTATATATATATATATATATATATATATCGCTACTGTTGGAACAAAACCTTGTATCTCCATTTTTGTCGTTTTTCAGTTTATGACATAATTTGAAAAGGCCTGTTGCTCTTTACATTGTGTCAAAATTTCACGATGATCGGACAAAAAGAAATGAACAAAAATTACTTGGAAAAAGTCTGGTTCCATTGACTTACATTAAAAGTAAAGTAGGTTTTTTCCTCTTCCTGTAAAGTTACCATTTTGGAGATATGAGGTTTTGTTCCGACAACAGCGATATATATATATACACACCAATCAGGCATAACATTCTGACCACCTCCTTGTTTCTACACTCATTGTCCATTTTATCAGCTCCACTTACTATATAGGAGCACTTTGTAGTTCTACAGTTACAGACTGTAGTCCATCTGTTTCTCTGATACTTTGTTAGCCCCCTTTTACCCTGTTCTTCAGTGGTCAGGACCCCCATGGACCCTCACAGAGCAGGTACTATTTGGGTGGTGGGTCATTCTCAGCACTGCAGTAACACTGACGTGGTGGTGGTGTGTTAGTGTGTGTTGTGCTGGTCTGAGTGGATCAGACACAGCAGTGCTGCTGGAGTTTTTAAACACTGTGTCCACTCACTGTCCACTCTATAAGACACTCCTACCTTGTCAGTCCACCTTGTGGATGTAAAGTCAGAGACAATAGCTCATCTGCTGCTGCACAGTTTGTGTTGGTCGTCATATATATGATGTATCATGATGGTTGTCCAGCAGCTCAGTGTCAGTACTGTGGTTCAAATTTACTGTCACCTCAACCGGAGAACTGTGAGGAGAAATGAGCAAAGGCCTCTTGTGTGCCGGTCTGCTCCAGATGTTCATGGTATGCAGTTTCCTGCGGAGAGTTCTTTCAGAAATTGGTTGTGAACGACCTGCGTTGACTTCTAGAAGCAATTCTTGCCTGGAAGCAAAGCGATTTTTATTCACATGCCGTGAAACATGTCGGCGGTCCCTGTCTGTCAGTTTCGTCTTTCAGCTACAATTCTGATGAGAATCTCCTGTAGACTGTGATTTTTGCCACTGCTGGTCGACCTGAATGACCATACGCTTCAATACACCTGCAATTTCAGCTACTTCCTTCACATTGTGGCCTTTGGCAGCCCAGATACAACCACTCCTTTTTGCCAATCATTAACATCTACTTTGTGGCCCATTTTCTACACGTTCACTGCTCGGTACCACACTGAATGGAAGTTAATGGAAGTTAATTAAAGTTTTTTTTCCAACTAATTTTGAAACATTTCTTTTGGTCCATTCATTGTGAAATTCATTGTCAAACTTTAACACTTGTCAAGGCCAGGTGGCATTTAAAAAAAAAGAAAAGAAATTACTTACACGTTTTGTTTTTTTTTCTGACAGTGATGATAAATGTATCTATACCGTCCTATGCAAATATTTGTGTGTCCCCAAAATCGAATTCCATGTTCTTGTGTTCTTGTTGATGTTCTAAGTGTAAATAAGTGAACACATCCTCTACAGAGACACACTTCTGCATATTTTCATATACAATTACTGTTTATTTACTGAATTAAAAAATAAAACCTACGATGTGGCCTGTGCAAAACGTATTAGACATTTTATACATTTGATTTTTTTCCAAAATGTTCCAATATTCAGTAAATAAACAGTAATTGTGCATTAAAGTGTGCAGAAGTGTATCTCTGTAGAGGACGTGTTCACTTATTTACACTTAGCCAATCAATAAAACACACCATTTGATTGGAGGTATAAGTTTTGCAGGCAACTCCATGTATATATCATCGCTTTTAGAACAAAGCCTTAGGTCTATTTGAATGTACCTCTATATATGGCCATGAAAGTTGCTGCACACAGTAGATGTTTACTCATTTTCAGTGTGTAAACAAAGAGAGCACGAAAAGCAGCAGCTTCCCTTAATACCAGCTCAGCTCACACTCGGATGGATTTAGGGCTCGTTGTCAAATAGACGTATTACAGCAGCTCTGGAGGAGGTTAATTATTTACGGCGTGTAGAGGGTGAGGACGGCAGTGACCTGCAGCAGAGAGGAGCTCAGTGATGGATGAGAAGCTCAGCAGTGAATATGACCTGTTGCTCATTCTGGCCTGTTTGTTGTGTGTGAGAGTTCTGTGTTCAGGACGTCTACTGTACAAATACAGCATAACCCTGTTCACGTTATGTGGCTCTTGATGGGTTCTTTAGTAAAGACAATGGTTCTGTATAGAACAGTGAGCATTCAAAGGACCACTTGTATGCTTAAATGGTTCTTTGTATGGTGAAGTGGTTCTTCAGATTGATTGAGACTCTGTGGTAAATATGTATATATATATATATATATATATATATATATATATTTCAATACATGCTTCTGTTTAGCATCAAAAAGGGTTCTGCTATTGTTATGATGTCAACTTGTGTACTCCTTCTGGGGCTATATAAATATATATATATATATATATATATATATATATGCACACTCTTAAAAAAGATGGTTAGTAAAGAAACTGGTTCTGCGTAGAACCATGAACACTCAAAGAACCCTTTGCATGATTGAAGGGTTCTTTGCATAATGAAATGCTTCTTCAGAATGTGCTATAGATGGTCCTATGTAGAACCTTTTTAAAAAGGGTTCTCTATAGCACCCAAAAGGACTCTTCTATTGTTCCGATGTTCAACATGTAACAATGGAAGAACCCCGCAGCACGTTCTCCATCAATCTGAAGAACTTTCATGATGCAATATCCATTTAATCAGGCAAATGGTTCTTTGAGTGGTCATGGTTCTGCATGCAACTATTGCCTTTACTAAATAACCCTTGAAGAACCATCTTTTTAATAGTGTATTTTTTGTATCCTGCTTTTTTTAATGATTCATAGATATTCATGTTGGGTTGAAAAAAATGCACTGTATTTTGTTTATTTTGATTTTGACTTCTTTATGAATAAATCCCGCTCTGTCTGTTTCAGAGGAGAACTGCCGCATGGCGGTGGGTAAAGGCTACATCTCTGGCCTGCTGAAGCTGTACGAGGAGTGGCACACGCACGACTCGGAGAACCAGCATCTCCCGATTCGCCAAGCCTTACTGCACTGTCTGCACAGAGCCACCAACGCCAGCCTGGGCAGGAGCGCTCTGGTCACTGACGGAGGCGTCGGCCTGCTCTACAGAACCACACAGGTGCTGCGGCACCCAGTAGATCCACTCACATCTTCTTCAGAAACCCCTCCTCTGTAGCTTCTCCTTGATGGTGTACAGAGACTGTAGCTCATCTGTTGATGCAGTTTGTGTTAGCCATCCTCTAGACCCCATGTGTCAAACACAAGGCCCGCGAGCCAGATCAGGCCCGTGGCACAATCCAGTCCGGCCCTCGAAATTATTTTGATTTTATATTAATATTAGCCAATTTCACAATCAGTGGCACTACAATTCCCAGCATGCACTGCAACGGAATTTGCTCTGACACCCCACTTCCAACAACAATCTATGTGACAGCGGTTCTGTACCCAATTGCACATCATATCACCAAACACACCAGCTGCATTTCAACCAACATAAACACTATAAACACTATAAACACTCAGCAGCTCATAAATGAGAAGGGTTTGGCTGCAGACATGCACTCTCAGCCTGACATGCACCGCCAGCCTATTGATGACGTCAGTGCTGCTCTGATAATAAGGTAATTAAATATGGAAACTTTCGAAATAAAACCTGCCACGATGATCAGACAGACTGTCGGGTTTATTCACAGAAAAAACAAACAGGCTTCTGAAACTCATGAAAGCCACACTGAAGACGATTAGAACCGGTTATCAATAACTGTAATATTGATAAAAATAGAACTTATTAAGGATACTAGGAGGTTGTGACAGCGTACAGTCAACGTAGTACTGATTACTTTTGCTGGCTCGTCAACGTCGTCACAACCTCCTAGAAAGTTGTCAGACAACAGGGAAGTGTCTTGATGGTTGCTATTAGAGGCCATTAGGAAACGATCAAATGCATCTGGAATCAGCCACAAAACACCGGATTAAATGATCAGAATCCTTTACACTGTGATATCAACCCATCAGGAAAACACAGAATACCATTAGCGACTACTGAAAACCACCAGGAACCAACAGACACCTTTAATGGGTTCTATGACTTTTTTCAACAGGGAGATACATTAAATGTAACTCTCTAACTGTGTTATGGATGAAAAAGAGATTAAGTGATGATGTCGCTAAGCAGCAGCAGCCAAATGTCACCGTGCCGTTGGGCGGCTTCTGCCACTGTGGCAGAGAGTGTATGTGCACGTGACGTCACTGGGGCTGAGAGTGCATCTGGCTGAGAGTGCAGGTCTGCAGCCAGACTCTGTTGTCATAAACTGATCCCAAGAATTAATTAAACACAGGTACGTTTAAAAGACCTACATCCTGGGAACACTTAGAGATTTAACAGTGATCTGTAGCTAATGTAGCCTAAATATATCAAGTATTTATATGTAATACTTCACTACAAGGGGCTTTATTTTGCTGTTGACGTTTTGGCGTATTAAAATATAAACGATCTCTGGCCCTTGGAATTGTTGAGATTTTTTAATATGGCCCTTTTATTGTTTGAGACAACAGTGGCCCTGTGGTCAGAAACTGACCAGTGATAAATGCTGTAAAAGGGGGCTGATAAACTGTACAGCAACAGATGGAACACAGTTTGTAATTGTACGCTGATATGAGGGCTGTACATGAAACTTTTGAGCATGTACCACTGCTGCTATAAAGGTTTTTTTAGTACTGAGATTAAAACTACAGAAAATCTTTCTGAAAACTATAAATCTCAATTAGTGGAACAGATTGTCTTTTTAACTGTGCAAAAAACAAGCAGCATGTAAAAGTTTGTATTTTAAAGTTATTTTTGTGAACCAAAAAAATTATATATATCATTATCTCCACAATAATTCAGATTATTGCACAATTGGCACTTAAGTACATTTTTTTGTGGATTTTTGAGTGTGAGGAAACCCACACCAGCAGTAATGCATGTAAACTTGGAATTATATTCAAAATAGTTTATAACTTAAAAGCAAGGCTGTTACTTAATGTGATTTATCATTTGTTTCTAATAAAGTGGCCAGTTTGTAGAAGTGCACGGTGGGTTTTTCTAATAAAGTGGCCAGTGAGTGAAGCACAAGGTAGGTGTTTCTAATAAAGTGGCCAGTGAGTGGAAGCACAAGGTAGGTGTTTCTAAAAAAGTGGCCAGTGAGTTGAAGCACAAGGTAGGTGTTTCTAATAAAATGGCCAGTGAGTAGAAGCACAGATAGGTGTTTCTAATAAAGTGGCCAGTGAGTGGAAGTACAGGGTGTGTGTTTCTAATAAAGTGGCCAGTTAGTGGAAGTACAAGGGGGTATAGGTGGGCAATATGACAGTATATATTGTGAGAACAGCATGTTTTATCACAAAGAGAACATAATTAGTCTTGTTTAATTGGATTTAGTTCAGCACTTTGTGTGAAACACCGAATAAAAGTCACTGCATTCATAGTTTTTAGTGGGTTTTAATTATATTTTTCATATGTGGCCCTTTTGGTTGCATTTTATCTTATCAAACCTTCAGAAACACTAAAGCTCATGAAAATGTCTTCAAATATCATGAGGTTATATTGCCCACCCCTACAAGCTAGGTGTTTCTAATAAAGTGGCCAGGGGGAACATTTATAGTGTGTGTTGTTGTAATGAAACACTCATGAAGGTGGATTTGAATGCAAGTGGAGTTTAATAAACAGACTAAATAAAATCAGACTTAAGGCAAAGACACAAGCCTAGACAAATGTTCAAGACCACACTAGGAACAAACTGAAGCAGAATGAATACACAGGTTAATGAGCGGTGAATGAGAAACAGGTGCCCGTATTCTGAGGAGGCAGCACATTGGAGGCGTACCCACCAGGACATGGAGCTGATTGTGTTACAGCCCCTATGTATGTGTTTTAAATGGCGATAATGATGTGAACTGGGGCACATTTCCCAGAGGAGCCGAAGACGAAGGCTGTAAGTCCTGCCTCATCACTTATCTGTGATTATTTAGTTTTGTGGAAGGAAGTGACAGAGCTGTATTTGAAACACGCCCCATTTACCTTCAGATCCACAACAGTGCTGTTGGTGATATAATCACCTGGAGATCGAAGTGATGAATATTCTAAACCCGCAGCTGGAATCCGCCCCTTCCTTCAGGGCTTTTGCTGCTCTAATTGTTTTTTTATTACCTTTTGTGGCTCCTCGCTTTGTATTGCTTTAATCATTGGCTTTGGAGCTGTGAGTTCTCATTGCGCTGTGATGGTCATCGTCTGAAGTAAACCAGCCTGAGTCATTACCGGACACGGGCGCTGGTTTTTCTTTCAATCCGTCGTGGAAACTTTTCTGCTTTCACAGCACATTTGACTTGCCGACTTGTTTACTCCGCGGAGCGTTTATAACGTTTCTAAATGAGTTATGTCCTCTCCCGCAGACCTGTTTGTTGAACAAGGCCACGGAGTGTTTGGTGGAGCCTGCAGTGCAGCTCATGAGGAAATGCTACCCAAAAATCCCTCTTCCTCTGCCCTCAGACCGCAGCGTGTACAGTTTCCCTCTGCCCGGCCAGCCTGCGGACGCCTGGGAGGACGATCCGGGAGCCCACGGTAAGGCCAAGTCTCTCTCTGGGCCAATTCACCCAGTTGTCCACTTAGCCCAGATGTAATAGATCAGATAATGCATGTTTGGTGTCCAGTTTTTCCTGGTGCTATGAGGCTGATGTAGCTAACAAACACTAGAAGTCAATAGGCGCCCAAATCTTTGTGTAAATACATCCCCAGAACTTCTCTCTCAACCCACTCGAAACTGCATCCAGGTCTTCATTAAGACACCACAATATCCCTGGCCGCCGTGCATAGGCCTGCCCACTGCTCCGGGCAAGTGTGCACCCTACTGTGTGTGTTCACTAGTGTGTATGTGGTGTTTCACTGCACGGATGGGTTAAATGCGGAGGTGAAATGTCCCTGTTGTGAGACTAATAAGGGTCACTTAATTAATCTTATGGAGCAGGACTAATTTTCAGTATTGTGTGCGGGAGCGGGCGGGTAACCAGCCCTCTGCAGGCGGGAGCGGGACAAAGCGCAGATGAAGAGAAATGCTGCAAATTAACACATAGCATACATAAAGTAGAATAATCGTTCAATCATATACATAAACAATATAAAATGATAACAGCAAAACAATTAAAATGAATAAGGTCATTCAAAACAGCTGCAAAGCAACCAATCTCGTGAACAACACGCAGATTCTCGTAGCTGACAGAGATGGCGAAGCCTTCAGTCCGACGGCCACAGCTGCCCAGCAAAACACCAAAAATAACCGCTCTGTGGTTTAAAGAATAACTTCACATTTCACATGCGCAAATAAGCTTATAGGTGATATGGGTTTATTTGAAAGCTTTTCCCATAGTTCACTGCATTCAGCTAGTGGTGGGCGATATGGCCCAAATATTATATCATGACATTTTCACCCTACATGATATGCATTAAAATATTAATTTTTTTCTCAGATTTAAGTTGGAACAAACAAAAAAGAACCTGTGGTGCCACATATAGAAATTACATCAGCAATAACACTATTACTACTATTACTATTACTAATACTACTACTAATGCTACTACTACTACTATTAATAATAATAATAACAATAATAATTATAAATCTACAACTATAATGATTTTTATTCTGTGTTTTTTCAATCTGAACTGCACCAAATCCAATTAAACAGGCCTAATTAAGTTGGTCGGTGTTTTTTAAGTATTGATGATATCTACAGTATGCCTCAGAAAAGCGTATTGTGACATAATTTACCATGATAGTGATAAAATATCGTCATATTGCCCACCTCTACATTCAGCTGTATGGAAAGGACAGGAGTTTCTTCTATAGTAACCCACAATAGACTTTGCTTTCAGTGCACACGGTGACGGTTGCCCTGGCAACCTGCCCAGTGACACTCGGAAACAGCGAGACTGTGACAGGTGCTAGCTGTGTGTGTGTGTGTATGTGTGTGTGTGTGTGTGTGTGTGTGTGTGTGTGTGTGTGTGTGTGTGTGTGTGTGTGGGTGTGTGTGGGTGTGTTTTTCCCCTATTCCCCTGTGATGTCTGTATCACTGCTACACAGCAACCAATCAGACACAGTAGATCTGTCGTGATGTACACATACAGCAGCGCTCTGCTCAGACACACTGCACACATGTAGGCGTTATAGTTCTCATAGATGTACATGTTTCTCATTAGCTTTACACTATTTGTCAAACATTTGGGGACATCTAAACACTTAAGGTTCTTTAAGGGTTCTTTAGTACGTTTGGAGAATAAGTTCTGTATGAGGCATAACATTCCGAGCACCTCCTTGTTTCTGCGCTCATTGTCCATTTTATCAGCTCCACTTACTATATAGGTGCACTTTGTAGTTCTACAGTTACAGACTGTAGTCCATCTGTTTCTCTGATACTTTGTTAGCCCCCTTTTACCCTGTTCTTCAGTGGTCAGGACCCCCATGGACCCTCACAGAGCAGGTACTATTTGGGTGGTGGGTCATTCTCAGCACTGCAGTAACACTGACGTGGTGGTGGTGTGTTAGTGTGTGTTGCGCTGGTCTGAGTGGATCAGACACAGCAGTGCTGCTGGAGTTTTTAAACACTGTGTCCACTCACTGTCCACTCTATTAGACACTCCTACCTTGTCAGTCCACCTTGTAGATGTAAAGTCAGAGACGATAGCTCATCTGCTGCTGCACAGTTTGCGTTGGTCATCCTCTAGTGCTTCATCAGTGGTCACAGGACGCTGTTGGCTGAATATTTTTGGTTGGTGGACTATTCTCAGTCCAGCAGCGACACTGAGGTGGTGGTGGTGTGTTAGTGTGCTGCGCTGGTACGAGTGGATTAAATGTAACTTTCTGATACATGTTGACACTGATTTGCTTCTTTTCATGTTTTGTCAGATAGAACCTTATAATTCCAAGCAGAAAGTGAGCTCTTATGATTAGATGGTTCTATCTGCATTTGACCCGTTCCAAAAAAATAATTTACAAATTATACATTTTGATATTGTAGATTTACAGTAAATATAGGGTGTTCTTCATTATCATGTGTGAAAGAGACACATTCCACATATCAGTTTTGCTATTTGGAATGCAAAATCTTTGAAGCTTAATATCTCAGAACGCAGATAGAACCTATATTTCCAAGGAGACAATTTGTAGACTAGCCAGGTCCTGCGTGTGGCTTCGGAAGGGCTTAAAGTGGAAAAGATTATTTCAAAAACTGGCTTTCACTTCATACCACCTAAAATCACCTACTCCAGCTTTAACTGAAGAGTGACAAGCAAACGTGACTCAGAACATTTTAAAAAAGCCATGTTTTTAAAGGGCAGGGTGTGTTGGTGTGAGAGGACAGAGAGATGGACCTCATCAGACCAAACTGAACAACAGCCTGGGCTCATAATTGTGGACAACATGTTTTCTGCCCACTGGGCTTATTTGTGTTTGCTGTAAAACCCTGCTGCCCCCCGACTGGCCTGCTAAACCACATTCAGCTGGAATGAGCAGATGCTGGCCAGTCTGTAGCACCTCATGATGGACAAAAGAGCAGCCAGGCTCTCCCTCCATAATCACTGTCCAGCAGAAAGCTGTGTGCAGCCTGCTGGTTTGTGTGCAGGTTGGCAGTTCACTCCATACAGTGAATTCTGACTGAGCTGAGTTGAATTGAATTGGGTTGTGTTGAGTTGAACTGAACATACTTTACTGAATTTAATTGAATTTGGGTTTGAAAACTCATCTTAAACGAATTTATACTGATAGAAGTCATCTGAGTAATTAGGGCACTCTTAATGATGGTTCTACGAGGGTTCTTTGTTAAAGAAAATGGTTCTATGTAGAACCATGAACACTCAAAGGCCCCTTTGCATGATTGAAGGGTTGTTTGCATCATGAAAGGTTCTTCGAATTGATGCAGAATGCGTTGTATATGGTTCTATGTAGAACCTTTTTGAAAAAGGGTTCTATATAGCACCAAAAAGGTTCTTTAACAAAAGGAGAACAGTGCTTTTTGGTCCCTAATTCACTTATATCTTCCTAAGTGTTCTTGAGAAAGGTCCTAAGAAAAAGTCTGTGTCAAATTCATGTGTTTTAAAAAGCACCCAAAAGGGTTCTTCTGTTCCGATGTCAAGCTTGTAACAATAGAAAAACTTTTTTGGGGATATATAGAACCCTTTTCAAAAAGGTTCTATGTAGAGCTGTCCGTAACACATTCATGCACATTTTCCATCAGTTTGAAGAACCCCTTCATGAAGCAAAGAACCCTTTAATCTTGCAAAAGGCTCTTTGAGTACTCAAGGTTTTATATAGACGTGTTCTTGAAGCACAGAACTGTTCTCACCTTTGTGCTCTTGAGTGTGTAGATTCTGTTCTTACCTAAGAACAAACCCCAAATTAGAGAACATTGGTGAGTCAGACTCTACCTGAAAGCTGTTTAAGTGGGTTTTAAGAAAAATTTCTTTTTAAAAATGGCTGGTAAATGAGGTCCAATGTCTTTACTAAAGAACCCTTGAAGAACCATCTTTTTTTATAAAAAAATAGTGTCTTGTTAAGTAAAATTATCTTAAATATAGTCACAAAAATCTAATATTTCTCCTGCTGATGTTGTTATAAGCTTAATTTTAGACGATTTTCTTTATTTCTAGGTTTTTCTTGTTCTGTGTGATTCTATTAAGTAAATTTATCTCACTATGTTGGCAGAAATGCCCTCCTTGCATTTCTCCTTCTCAGTCTGGGCTGCTAGGGGTGTCACAGGTGTGTGTGTGTGTGTGTGTGTGTGTGTGTGTGTGTGTGTGTGTGTGTGTGTGTGTGTGGCGGATGTAGGAGGGCTCCAAAGTGGTTCTGTTTGATCTCACATGGCTACTAACTCTCCACACGCCCTGACATTGATGTCTCAGGCTTTTGTGTGTGTGTGTGTGTGTGTGTTTGTCTCTTTGCTAGATGACAGCTTTGAAGATGACAGTGATGAAGAGCAAGAAAACGAGGAACCTGACTGCCGGGACTTTGTGAGTGATTCCCTGTGTTTGATTTTCCTTCCGAGGACCAGACGAGCACATACACACATACACACCAGTGTTTGTAAATGTAGCCTTGTGGGGACAGGCGTGATCTTGTAATGAGAAAACACATCTGGGGAGAACCTGATAAACCTTTAGTGCTGGATTTTGCTGATAACAAGCGTACGGACCCAGTCCAGCGGTCTCAAAGAGCCGGCCCACCGGTCACATTCCAACAGCTTCTTTCAGTCTATCATATGTTTACAACTTATCCTTAATTTTTCCTTAATTTACAGTTTATCATCTGACAGGTACACTCTTAGGGCTACATGGCTCTCCAAACAGAGGTTTTTCAGAGACTCCAAACAGAGAGTTATGAGAAATAAAGAAAAACTGGCAAGATGGAGAACAAGAGACCAAAGAAACACACAAATGTGAGAATTTTCTCTGTTAGAAATTACGATAACCACTGTATTATCTTAGTTTAATGTCGTTTCAATGTATTGTGGTCGTTTTCTTCATAACAAGCATAAAACATCGCAAGGTCTCGGTAGCTAGCTAGCTAACTTTTCCGTTCCACCTTAAACAGTCCAGCAGTTTTGACACCTGAAACGCCAGAATGTACCTGCTGCAGCATTTAAGGTGGAACGGGAAAATTCGAACAGGAATCTGGTGAATATCTGACTTCAGCTTCATATCACTGAAGAATTAGGGGTGGGTGATAATAAATAATTGCCCCCTCTTTGAAGGCATATGATGCTCTAAATGTAACTAAAGCCCAGCAGTGAGGAGCTGAACTTTACCCTCCTCTGCTGTCACTGCAGACTGGCAGGGTCGCCTACAGAGCAGCGCTGGTAGCTGTTAATGAAGTGATGCTCTTTTTATTTGAGGGTCCCATTTCAGAGGGAAGATTTCAACCACTACCCTGTAACTCAGTTCCAAAGGGGTTAGGGTGACACTCGAAAACAAAGGGTAGGGGTAAAAATAAGAAATGGGACTGGGCCTTGGACTCCCTGGCTACAGATGGCTGTAGCATCACTGGGGATCGAACTCGTGATCTTCTGATGGGAAGGCCAACACATAGATGATTGCACTCTGGAGCCCTGCGTGACCTCAGCCTTAGCAGATAAAAGACTTTTTCTAATAAATCTGTAGTTTTCAGGGTAAAACAGCATCTTCCTTCCTGGAGAGCAAACTAATGTCCCCACAACCTGTTTTCATCATCCTCACACACCCACACACGCACAGACCCACACATATACCATAATGTGACACAGCCTCCCCTGTATGACATGCAATTTTCCCCAGTAATTTGTGCTAAATGAATGCGAGGCGAGAGCGTTGGACTGATCCACTGGCTCTCTCTAAAGACGCCGATTGAAGAGGACAGGCTGTGCTGCTTCCTGCACTCGCATTACTTCAATAACACACACCTCTGATGCTGCCATAAATCAATGCCAGCACTTCACGCACTCACGCTTCAACTGTGACACCGCTCTCCTGCGCTTACACCCTCCCTCCATCCCTCCCAACACGGCACGATCGTTTCCCAAACCCAGTCTTTACCACACAGATGAGGCTGTATTATCTGCAGTACTGCTCAAAAGTGCTGATTGAATGGGTGTTTTGGCTTTTTTCTTAAATGCTTGACATCCATTTCTAAAACAAATAACAATTCAGCTACTTTAATGTGCATTTATTGACACAGTCCTCTAATCGTGCACACAGCTTGTGTAATCTCCATAGAAAAGTACTGACCAATAGAATGAAACGATCTGGAGCAGCCCCACATCAGCCTAAGGCAGCGGTCGGCAACATGTGGCTCTTTTACTGCCCGATAATTTAGAGATTAATGGACTTATTTGTGTTTATAATCACTCCAGCTGGTTTCCTGATATGTTTAATCTGCAGTGAGAAACTGTCAAACACTAAAAACTCACGAAGCTGAAGTTTCTCATTCAGCAGCTTCTTGTTCGAATTTTCCCATTCCACCTTAAATGGTGCAGCAGTTACATTCTGGCACATCAGGCACCATTTAAGGTGGAACGTGCAAATTCAAACAAGAAGCTGGTTGAATGAGAAGCGACTTCAGCCTCGTAAAAACTATTCTACTTTTGTGGAAAAGTTTCCTAACGGAGATGCGAGAAAAGCAGCTATAGCTCTGCCAAAGCTTAAAGCAGAGCAAAGTAAGTCTGTGTTTTCATTTATATTATATTTTTAGCCTCTTTTAACCATCAGCACATAATGAGATGAACTCAAATACTGTCCTAAAGTTTGTAAACACCTGCTTTTCTGAAACTGAGGGTATAATATTGTGGTATCACAAAAACAATGGATTCAAAACTAGCCGTTTTTGTGAGTAAGGTTCTATAAATATACTGTATGGAGTGGTAAACTGCACTAAATCCAGTTAAACAGGACTAATTATGCTCTCTCTGTAATGAAACATACAGTTGGTCAGTGCGCTTTGAGAGCTGACGATATCCAGGATGCACTCAGAAATGGAAATTCTGTATCATGATAACAAAAGTTTTGACGATAACGATAAAATATTGTCGTATTGCCCACCTCTAATTTACACACTAAATTAAACTCTTATTTCAAAGATGTCACACTCAACATCTGCACTGCCATCTTTCTCTCTCTCTCTCCACCTTAAATGGTGCCTATATATATACACAGTGGTGTGAAAAAGTGTTTGCCCCCTTCCTGATTTCTTATTCTTTTGCATGTTTGTCACACTTAAATGTTTCAGATCACCAAACAAATTTAAATATTAGATAAAGATAACACAAGTAAACACAAAATGCAGTTTATAAATGAAGGTCTTTATTATTAAGGGAAAAAGAAATCCAAACCTACAGGGCCCTGTGTGAAAAAGTGATTGCCCTCTAAACCTAATAACTGGTTGGGCCACCCTTAGCAGCAACAACTGCAATCAAGCGTTTGCGATAACTGGCAATGAGTCTTTTACAGTGCTGTGGAGGAATTTCTGTCACTCATCTTTGCAGAATTGTTGTAATTCAGCCACATTGGAGGGTTTCGAGCATGAACTGCCTTTTTAAGGTCATGTCACAGCATCTCAATCGGATTCAGGTCAGGACTTTGACTAGGCCACTCCAAAGTCTTAATTTTGTTTTTCTTAAGCCATTCAGAGGTGGACTTGCTGGTGTGTTTTGGATTGTTGACCTGCTGCAGAACCCAAGTGCGCTTCAGCTTGAGGTCATGAACAGATGGCCGGACATTCTCCTTCAGGATTTTTGGAGAATTCTTGGTTCCATTTACCACAGCAAGTCTTCCAGGTCCTGAAGCAGCAAAACAGCCCCAGACCATCACACTACCACCACCATATTTTACTGTTGGTATGATGTTCCTTTTCTGAAATGCTGTGTTACTTCTACGCCAGATGTAACGGGACATACACCTTCCAAAAAGTTCAACTTTTGTCTCATTAGTCCACAGAGGATTCTCCCAAAAGTCTTGGGGATCATCAAAATGTTTTCTGGCAAAACTGAGACGAGCCTTTATGTTCTTTTTGCTCAGCAGTGGTTTTCGTCTTGGAACTCTGCCATGCAGGCCATTTTTGCCCAGTCTCTTTCTTATGGTGGAGTCATGAACACTGACCTTAACTGAGGCAAGTGAGGCCTGCAGTTCTTTGGATGTTGCTGTGGGGTCTTTTGTGACCTCTTGAATGAGTCGTCGCTGCGCTCTTGGGGTAATTTTGGTCGGCCGGCCACTCATGGGAAGGTTCAACACTGTTCCATGTTTTCGCCACTTGTGGATAATGGCTCTCACTGTGGTTCGCTGGAGTCCCAAAGCTTTAGAAATGGCTTTATAACCTTTTCCAGACTGATAGATCTCAATTACTTTGTTTCTCATTTGTTCCTGAATTTCTCTGGATCGCAGCATGACGTCTAGCTTTTGAGGATCTTTTGGTCTACTTCACTTTGTCAGGCAGGTCCTATTTAAGTGATTTCTTGATTGAGAACAGGTGTGGCAGTAATCAGGCCTGGGTGTGGCTAGGGAAGTTGAACTCAGCTTTCCAAAGATGTGATAGACCACAGTTAATTTATGGGGAGCAATCACTTTTTCACACAGGGCCCTGTAGGTTTGGATTTCTTTTTCCCTTAATAATAAAGACCTTCATTTATAAACTGCATTTTGTGTTTACTTGTGTTATCTTTGTCTAATGTTTAAATTTGTTTGGTGATCTGAAACATTTAAGTGTGACAAACATGCAAAAGAATAAGAAATCAGGAAGGGGGCAAACACTTTTTCACACCACTGTGTATGTATATATATATATATATATATATATATACACCCCACGTTTTGTCTAGGGTACGTGGGATCGGTAACATGTGGCATTAAAATACTTAACTGGTGAGAATTGATAAGAAGCGTGAGACCAAAATAGAGCTTTTAAACCCATTTTTATCAAAAGAATCGTCAATAAAAACAATATATATATGTGTGTGTATATATATATATATATATGTATATATATATATATATATATATATATGTCTGTATGTATGTATATGTGCATATGTGTCTTTTTCACTTGCTCTAAGGCATTTAATTTACAGATGTGGGGAAATTTTGTCACACCTTTTTCACTCTCTGTCTCTCTGTTTCTGTCTCTCTTTCTTTTTCTCTCTGTCTTTTTCACTCTCTCTCTTTATCAGTTGCCCTCTCTCTCTCTCTGTCTTTTTCATTTGCTCTCAGGCACGATCATCTATACAGTGAATTTCTCTTTTTTTCTCTCAGTCTGTCTCTCATACCTGTGTGGTTATGAGAGGTGTGTTCGATAAGATGTCAGTGTCCAGCTGTGTCTGTGTTCCTGCCCTGTATAAGTTTATCTCAGACATTGTGTCCTGTGTTGGGTCACTGGTAGCTGTGGTGATGGTTGATCTTCCAGGTGTCACACCTGTTGGTTCTGTATGTATGTGTTCCTCAGGAGGACGATCTGGAGTCTGATGTGAGTCAGCTGACGGCTCGGCCGGAGCCGGACCGGCCGCTGGAACAGCTGCAGCAGTACTCAGAGCTCTGCCCTGAACTACAGCATGACTTCCAGGTAGCGGCACTTTACATTAAACACACTTCCCAGAAAACAAACAAACAAAAAAAACACAAATACAGACACAAAAATGCCACAAAATCACATTAGAAGTGTAAAATATGTACTAAAATCTAAAGGTGGTACTTCTGGACAATGACAGAGAGCCACTGGACTGGAATGACAGTTTCATTTTTGTGACATTTTATCTACATTTCCAGGCATGTTACACACATTTTAACATGTTATCATTTCATTATGCATGGACCAACAGAACTGATCCAAAAGTATTTGGAAAAAAATCTCATTACATTAATTTACATTGAAAGTAAATAATGTTCAATTAACTCAAAATTTCAAGTTACTTACTCTTTTAAGTTTAAAAGCTGTATAATGTTTTACATTGTACAGTGTCTAACTGCAAGAGCTACAAGTGAGGGGTTTCTGATAAAGTGGCCAAGGAGTGTAGATTGGGGGTCGGTAACATGCGGCTCTTTTACTGCCCTGTTGTGGCTCCACAGCAGAATTATATTTGTAGGTAAAAATAAAATAATCCTCCTTTACAGTAAAATAAAGCTCTGCTGATCGTTCAACACAGTTTAACAATAAATCGCAAGAGTTAATGTAGAACTGATAATTCACCCTTTAACCCTGAAGATCAGCACAGACTGCTGGTCGCCATAGCAACACAGACAACAATCTCACCTAGCTCAGAGCTAATGAAAAGGCAAAGAGAACCATTTAAAATGATCATCGATAACTTGGAGACAAATGGACTGTGAAACACCAAGAAGTCGCGAGCCTGAAGTCGCTTCTCGTTCGCCAGCTTCTTGTTTGAATTTTCCCGTTCCACCTTAAATGGTGCAGCAGTTACATTCTGGCACCTCAGACACTACTTAAGGTGGAACAGGAAAATTTGAACAAGAAACTGACTTCAGTCTCGTAAAAAACTGAAAGTTGTTACAAGAATCTGTTCCACTTTTGTGGAAAAGTTTCCTGCCGGAGATGCGAGAAAAGCGGCTGCAGCGGAGATGAAGCTTAAAGCAGAGTGAAGTAGGTCTGTGTTTTTTATTTATATTGTATTTTTAGTTACTAGAACATCAGCACATACTGAGACACATTTACAGCCAAGATGGTAAAACGTTACTTCAACAAAATGGACATGAAATGTTGTGGCTCCCGAGGTGGTTTGATTTTTGTTGAAAGGACAAAATGGCTTTTCTTAACATTTGGGTTGTGACCCCTGGTATAGGCCTGCCAGCTGTACCCTTCACTCTTCAGCCTGCTGTCTCTCTATTTCTAAATACACAAAAGGCTTTGTGACTTGAGTTGCATTTATCCTCCAGTGAAGCACCTCAGTCTTCCATTGTCAGAGCAGCAGCTTGTGGCTTCATGCTGAGGTCCGAACACCCTGAAGCTGATTATTCAGTCGAGCTGAAACCAAACTGCTTCTTTCACATTAACAATGGGGTAAAAATACCACTGCTGCATAGAAATACAGAACAAACGTCGAGTATGCAAAATGAAATGAGGTCATTTTCTGGAGGAACAGCCTCCCGGCTGAGTCCTTAAGGTTTCCCAGTGGTGTCATTTACAGTGGGTGTTATGGGCCATTCTGTATCCATAAAATCTGTTAATGCTCCCACACAGGGTACATACGTAATGTAGATGCAATTAGAGCCAGCTTTTAAAAGCTTGGTAATGCAGATTGACCACAGAGTGCAGTCTGCTTTGCTAGTGTACACTGCTGTGCTGATTATAATCCACCATCAAGTCATACCTGGACAACAGTTCTCCTGTGGTCAGAAACTGACCAATAATAAAAAGGGTAGAGGAGGGCTGATAAATTGTGTGACAAGCGTGAAGCTACAGTTGGACAACCATATAGTGGAGCTGCGGAGGTGTTTCTAATAAAGTGGCCAGTTAGTGGAACCAGAAGGTAGGTGTTTCTAATAAAGTGGCCAGTTAGTGGAAGGACAAGGTTGGTGTTTCTAATAAAGTGGCCAGTGAGTGGAAGTACAAGGTAGGTGTTTCTAATAAAATGGCCAGTGATGGAAGCACAAGGTGGGTGTAATCTGAAAAAGTAAACCAGTGAGTGGAAGGACAAGGTAGGTGTTTCTAATAAAGTGGCCAGTTAGTGGAAGGACAAGGTAGGTGTTTCTAATAAAGTGGCCAGTTAGTGGAAGGACAAGGTAGGTGTTTCTAATAAAGTGGCCAGTTAGTGGAAGTAGAAGCTAGGTGTTTCTAATAAAGTGGCCAGTGAGTGGTAAGCACAAGGTGGGTGTTTCTAAGTGGACTGTGAGAACCTTTTAATTATTAGCCATTCTAACTGCTGTTGACTTTGATTGGATGCACCAGAAACAGATGACGCTAACAGGTGTTTGCATTTGTAAAGGGTTACAGTTGAAGTGGTTTGTTTCCTCTAGAGTCTAAGAAATGCTGGAATCCTCCTGCTGAAGCATCATTGACAGTAATGAATGGTGTTTCAGGCTCAACATAATAAGCTTGGTGCTTGTCAGACGCTTGTCAATGTTGCTGCTTTGGCTCTTATTTGATTGACAGCTTTGCTCAAGCTCTGATTATGAAATCCTTTTATTCAGATAGTGGAGTTTCCTGGAAACCGTGTGTGAAATAATAGTTTGGTGGCCCTTGTTTGTCTTGCTGGTATGAGTGTGTTAGGCCTCATAAGACACATGCTAACCTCAGTTGATGATATAACAAGTGGTTGGATAGTATAGTGGATCCACTGTGGAACAGAGGAGGATGGGTTCCCCTTTTGAGTCTTGGTTCCTCTCAAGGTTTCTTCCTCTTGCTTTTAGGGAGTTTTCTTGCCGCTGTTGCCATTGGCGACACTCATCGGGACTCGGACCCGGATTTTTTTCCATAAAGCTGCTTTGTGACAACGTCTGTTGTAAAAAGCGCTACATAAATAAACTTTAACTTGACTGGTTAACAGCACAGCTCTGCACACAGGACAGCAGGGTTCCCTCCATTCAGACAGGAACGCCACTGCTATAGTTACCCCTTTTTACAGTAGTCACCTGTTTTGGAGCTCCCTCAGTTAAATGATTCAATTACATTGAATACATTTCAATGGAAATTTGTATGATTTACAAAACTGAGACTGGATTTCTGTCTTAAGTGAGAAAGCAAATGGACATTTATAGAAGTGTTTATATTGTGTTGTACAAGATTGTTTGGTATGAAGAAAGCTGCAGTTGTCTGTTTTATCTTGGCACGGCTGCTTTTGTGGAGAGGTGTGAATTGTTTTCCACAGCAGGGGCTTCTCACCCCTCCTCTTTCACCCCTCATTGCTCACTAGCAGCTCAACAACATTTCACACAGAGACAAACCGAGTCCTAGTTCACCTGATGACAGAGTTTGATTACATTAAAAATACCCAAGGCAGTTTCCATTCTGCTTGACTAGAAAGAAGTTGCAATTCCTAAAGTTGCATTGGCCATAGAAAAATATTCATATACAGAGAATGATGGAGAGACATGTAAGGTAAAGTTTGCAGATCTTTCCACTCCTCAAATAGCCCCCTCTGCAACAAGGAATGCATGTTCTTCAGTGGTCAGGACCCCCATGGACCCTCACAGAGCAGGTACTATTTGGGTGGTGGATCATTCTCAGCACTGCAGTGACACTGACGTGGTGGTGGTGTGTTAGTGTGTGTTGTGCTGGTCTGAGTGGATCAGACACAACAGTGCTGCTGGAGTTTTTAGTCCACCAACCAAAAATATCCAACCAACAGCGTCCTGTGGGCAGCGTCCTGTGACCACTGATGAAGGACTAGAGGATGACCAACACAAACTGTGCAGCAGCAGATGAGCTATCGTCTCTGACTTTACATCTACAAGGTGGACCGACAAGGTAGGAGCGTCTAATAGAGTGGACAGTGAGTGGACACAGTTTTTAAAAACTCCAGCAGCACTGCTGTGTCTGATCCATTCGTACCAGCACAACACACACTAACACACCACCACCACGTCAGTGTTACTGCAGTGCTGAGAATGATCCACCACCCAAATAGTACCTGCTCTGTGAGGGTCCATGGGGGTCCTGACCACTGAAGAACAGGGTAAAAGGGGGCTAACAAAGTATCAGAGAAACAGATGGACTACAGTCTGTAACTGTAGAACTACAAAGTGCACCTATATAGTAAGTGGAGCTGATAAAATGGACAATGAGCGTAGAAACAAGGAGGTGGTCATAATGTTATGTCTGATCGATGTATATATCTCTTTGCATGTAGTAAAGGCTGTTCTTACCCAATTTTGGTCTGATAATGTGGCGGTTATGGTTTGATAAATTATTTAATTGAGCTTTTCTAAATCAGGGCTGATAAATATAAAGATAGAGATGTTTTACTATATCGTCTATCTCAGGTTCTGCTATGAAGGTCCTCCATGCGGGGCTCTTTCTGCTTAAAAGCGAATGGTATCTGCTCTCTCTCTCTCTCCCTCTTTCCTTGATGTTTTAATTCAAATGGTGTCACAAGATGAACTGCAGCTGTTGGACTGAGTCCCTTCTGCAATTAATTTGCTTCTCTGCTTATTGATGAGAGCCGTGCTACCATGCCAGCGCACAAAGAAGAGCCTCTAGTTTATTTATTTTTTAACATTTATTAATAGCCCTACAAATAAAAGTGTATGACATAATAAATGTTGATCATTTACTGTAAAAAAACGAGCCAGGATGTGTTGTTCTCATTACAAGCTTTCAAGAACGGCATTTTTCTTACTTATGATTTTTAAAAATCTGACAGAAATGAAAACGTTTTATCTTAATTCTTTCCTCCACCTGTGCGTTTTTCCCTTTTTTCCCTGTTGCGTGCCGCTTATCTCCGGATGCTGCAGTGGGTTCAGATGCAGCTGTGGTTGCGCAGCGTGTGCGGCGCTACGACATGGTTGCAAACAAAGCTACAGACTGTGCATAACAATGAGCTTTCTGCCATTAATCACACGAGCTAACATCACTCCACCTGCCATCCGCAGGCCGCAGCAAACACACTC